AGGATTTCCAATGTAATCTAGTTTTCTGATGGTTTATTTATTTACTAAATATAAAACAAGAATAACCAACTTTACCTTCCTCTGCTTAATTGTCATCACACTTCCCTGCAATGAAAATTGGCAAGCATTTCCAAAATTGACTGTGTTTCAGTAATATAAATAACTAGTCAGGAGATAGAATATGCCTTTTAATTTTTTTGGTAAGGCCATAATTTGGTAACATTTGCCCAGAATGGTTCATGATCTAAAGGTTTAAATGCCAAATCTCTCATACCCAACAAACTGTTCACAATTGTGTTTATTCACAAATTTTCAGTGCATCAACACAGGGATCTCACATACAGATCTTCTCATTGAGATGCCTGTATACACAATGGTTAATCTTCTGACCTTAGCTTTTCACACAAGAAGATTGGTCTCCATTTCAGAGACTCTCTTCCCTGTTAAACCTAGCTGTTGAGCTCCCAATGCATATGGGATGTTACAGATGTAGTTTTCCAATGTCTGGTGGTTAGTCTGTGTTTTTTGTTTTTTCGCCTGTCACTGCCCTACCCCATGTAAAAATAGAATGAAAAATACATAGATAAAATAATATGGTTGGTATGCCATTGAAATGGTGTGCTACAAATCTTTGGAGTAGGTAGAGATATTGAATGTGCTCTTCTCATCTTGTTTGATATTTTTTAAGTTTCTCAGGACTTTTTTAATTAGAAAAATGTTCTAAGAACAAGAGGTTGTTTAGCATCACATCCTCTCACCACCACAGCATGGCTTACGTGAGAAGCGTCTACATCGTAGTCTTGGTTACTGGGGTACTTTTCTCCTCTGTAACAATTTATTGCTTTTGGGATACTAAGCCTTTTCTGTTTGTTTTAATTAATTGTTTATTTTGCTAATTTCTTTTGTCTTACGCCTACAGCTTTTCCCCTCTATTTCTTTTAATCATATGTATGTGCAGAAACGATTGACATTTTCCTTTAATTAAAGAAACTAATCAGTTGCAGTGTTCCACATGTAATTTTTGAATGTTCATGATATTTATTACTTTTATATTTCTGCTAGAAATTTGATTTTATAAATTATTTCAAAACTCAAAAGTTTTAGAAGACTGAAATCTTGTCCCTACATTTTAGAAAATAATAGCAGTTGTATAATGCATCTTTGACTTCTCTCCTTAAATATGTGAGGATAGAAAATGTAATCCAAATATTTTCATCCTGGTATAACAGTTCTTTTGATTAAAGAGGAAATGTTTGTTCTATAGTGAATCATAAATTATTTATAATGTGAATGAGAAAATGTTTATAAACATACTTTGGAAATAAATGGGAGTATTTATAGTAACTGGCATCTTGAAAGAAAATATATGTACTTTTGAGTGGACAGAATCATCTACTGTATGAATTTTCAAAGTTATATTTGAATTCTTGACTTTAGGTCTGAGAGTCACCTTAGAAGTTATCTATGCTGTAGATTCTATGGCACACTCACTTTTATAGACATAATGTTAAGGCCTCAAGAGGCTGAGTATGTCTAGATCGGATACTCTGTTACCCTACAAGATTAGAATGGTGATATCTTTGTGAACTGAGTTCTTTTTATCTTTGTATTGGAGATCCTAACATAGTCCTGATGCATAGTTGAAATATTAGTTTCATTAAATTTAGTATATTTTTCACTATACACATCATGAAATGAAAGAATAGCTGACAGACCTTTTATTTCTACCTGTGCTCTTTTGTGATGATACAAGTAATATATATTATTGTGGGAAGTCTGGACAAGTAGAAAATAAAAATTGTCATTAAAAGGGTTGTTTTAAAAACCATACTACTTAGCGACAAATGAAGCCTTGGAACAAAATCATTGGTGTTGAATCATAACAAAGCCACTCTTGATTATTCTAGAATGGATTAAGGGCATATACCATGGTCCCATAGGACCTTCAGAATGCTCACATCTTCAGTGGCATTCTGTAATAAAGCAGTGACTAGTAATGGGAGGGCTGTAAGAAAGAAGCCATACCATGGAATTGAGCTACCTAGTTACTGAAAGAAAAGCTACTTTGGGAAAGCAAACCCACCCCCACACCCCAATCCAGTATACCTCGTTTTTTGCACCATCCTCTTAAGTCTGAGGCTTTGCTCATCTCTGAAACTTTACACTTCATCATACCTGAAACTTTGCACTTAGAAATAATATCTAAACTTATGAGGTGAAGTATTTTTTAAATGATTATGTGAAGTTTTTCTCTGGGAAGCTTTATCCCCTATTCTTTAATATGTATGTATGTATTTTGAAAGTTGATTTTTAGTAAGTAACCTTTTATATTAAGGGTGTTAATCCTTTGTCTAATGTGGTGCAGATCTTTCTGATTTGATAGATTGTGAATTTCTCTAGGTCAGGGACCATGTGTAGAAGATAGTTTACAATGCAAGTAGTATGCATTTTACAATTTGTTGAGGGTAGATCTCATGTTTTTTGTTAAAAAACCCAAAAGGACATAAGGAAACTTTAGAAAGTGTTGGCTGTATCTATTACCTTGATTGTGGTGATGGTATTATGAATATATGCATATGCCCAAACTCATCAACTTGCACACATTGAATATGTGCAATTCTTTGCATGACAAGAATACCTCAGTAAAACTATTAAAAATCCCAACATACTGTCTAGCAAATGGTTTATTATATTTGCATCGAATGGTTAATGACTTTTATTGTAAGCAAAGAAATTACAGTATTAGATTTATAGAGTACAAAAGTCAATTACAGTAGGAGGACTATGTCTAAAGGAAGAAAATTCAATTAGAAGGTTGTTTTAGTAATCTACTTAAAACTATGCTTAGATTCCTGGCTTAGGCAGTAGGACACGTAGTAGTCCCTTCACTAAGAAAAAAAAAAAAAACCAGGAAGGAAATTCTTCTTTGGGAAGATGATGACCACCTGAGTATGGTGTGCAGGTTAGACAGCCATGTAGATAACATCAATATAGAAATGGCTAAGTAGTTTTGGATTCTCTATCTGAGCTAAACAAATTTGTGAATGATCATAGAGAATGTGGTTATTGAAGCTTAGAGTAGTAAATATACCTACAGAAAGTATTTCAATTTATTTTATGTAAACATATCTATGTATGCATATTGATCAATATTAACTGTAAGTCATGATAAAGAACTGTGGTTTCAATCATTGATAACATAAAACATAATTTGCAAGCTACTTGTAAATAATGGTGACCCTAATAAATAGAACGATGAAGGTCATCAGTGGTTATATTTTAATGTCAAATAGTTTAGTTCAATTTAAACAAATATTTCTTGAACAGTTCTTAGAATTTGTGTTGCTTTTATTCCATGGTAGTATCACAAGGACAAAAACATCACTTTGAGAAGAACTGCACTTAAAATGTTTATTGTAAATTAGAAATCATAGTATCAGGTTTGTAGAATACAAAAATCAATTGCAGTGTAAATAGTGGGCTTTAGGGAAATGTAACTAGAGGGGGGAAAAATCCAGTTGGAATGTTGACTTAACGTGGTTTTAAGAGAGGGACTGATACGTTCAGGGCTATGTTTTAAAGAGGGTACCCTGCAGGATGGTAGATGAAGTCAAGGATGGGAAATCTAGGATTATTTTGATAGTATAATACTAGGATAATTACCAAGAAATGGTAAATATGGACTTAGGTCTCATGTTAGCTTTTGAACTTAGTAGGTGATAAGGCTGGAAATCTAGAAGGGTCAAAACTGGTTTCTTAGTTGGGTATATAAAGAAGGATGGTGTGTTCAGTGAAAGAGGAAATAAAGGACATCTCATAGTTTAAAAAAAAAAAAACCAAAAACTTGGGAGTCTGGTTTTCTGATTTCTGGATTCTGGCATCTAAACTTGTAGATAAGTATGGTATACTAGAAAAGAATAGACATCCTGCTCTCAAATTTCTAAAAGGTTATTTTTGGACACTAAGTTCCAGTTCCTACTCTTTTTTTCTGTGTATAGAAGGTTAGAAGAGTTGAAATTACCTTTGTGAATCTGAGCTATGAATCCATCTACATGTAAAACCCTGCTGAAGTGAGATGAAATGGATTTTTCTTAAGTACATAAGTACAAAATACATTTTTAAAGAAGTGAGTTATTTCTTTCCATTTTACTCAGGGTGTTTCATATTCTTAAGTTATTTTGGATGAGTATATTTGCAGTATTTTTGGTGATTTTTTTTTTATTTGAAACTAAATAAAATCCCTAATTCATTTTTAATGGTTTTAGTTTTGATTGCTTCTTATATAAAATATTTAGTAAATAGTTGTATCTTTTAATCATACATTATTTTATGAGAAACTCTTGACTTTGAATCAGGTAATTATGAATTGATTTTTAAAGTCAGTGACAGCTTTAATTCTTGTCATGTAGTGAAAGTGTTCATTCCTGTAATGGATTAATGCCTGAAATACTGAATTCAGAGACTGGCTAAAAATTTAACATCAAAAGAAATCTTGTAATTTCTGTTTGAATTCTTTAAAAATGAGGAAAGCCTTTTCATAATCTATGTCTAATTAAGTCTTCAAAGTTACTTATAAATAGTGTATAAAAGTAATGTAATCATATTACAAACAGCAGTATAAATACAGTGCTTGATAACTGGGTAAAATTTTTCATATTAAAAATTTAGACTGCTAAACATATATACATTAATAGTTTAAACATACCTTGTATTAATAATTATTTTCCATACATATAGTACAAAATTAATCATAGTAAAAATAAATATGGTTTTAAAAAAGTTTACTTGGTAAGTGCACAGTTCAGTGACAGTCAAAGAATTCTGTTAACACGAACAGTGGTGAAGAGATACGAAGCAGGGAGAGTTAACTCTTGTTTACCAGAGCCCAGTTTTAGCTGAAATGAAACAGAGCTTAAAACTTGTAAATTGAGTTGTAAGTGGAAGACTGTCTGCTATTGATAGTCATGCAACTTATTCATCTTTCACTTGTCTTTTCACAGAGCTCCTTAATAAGCATTTATACTCAGTTTTTGGCAGCAGTGGAATCACTGAAGACATTCTGGGATGTAATGGATGAAATTGATGAGAAGACTTGGGTACTTGAGCCAGAAAAACCTACACGGAGTGCTACAGCACGCAGAATTGTATTAGGTAGGGTAAAAGAGGATTTAAGGGTTTTTTTATTTTATTTTTTAAAGGTATTTGAGTATATTTTATATTACTTTGGAAAACGAATCTATGACATTGGATTTTAGATGAGATTTTTTTTGTATGAGGGATGAACTGTGATTTATTAGTACATATTTAAATGTAAATATTTTAAGTAGAAAGGATAAGTACTGAGGTGTTTCATTATAAAAGGTGATGATCTAATCCGTGGATGTAGCATTTGGAGATAGTGTTTAATTAGCTTTTAATTAGCATGGAAATTATGGAGTAGATTTTTTTAAAACTTCCATTACTTGGGAAAAGCTGTTAGAAATAACGAAGTCTTCATTTGTGAAACTAGACAAGATTAGTATGAACAAGTCTGGGAATATTTTCTAACAGAAATATAGAGGAGGATAAAAGAACCTGAAGTGGGCCATGCATGCCATTGAAGAGGAAAAAGAAAGCTTTACAAAATAATAATTGAATATATTTTAAGTATTATAGTATATATTAATTAATAATATTAAGTATTATATGATAAATTTTCTTACTATAAATATATGAAATTAATAAGATAAGGAATAACCATAAATATCATCCTGGCAATATTACCATATTCTATTTACTATGAAATTACTGGTTTATATATTATCATTATGAGTGAGCAATACATGAAATCAGTTTTAAAGTTCAACCTTTCAGGATTTTAGATGTTTTAAAACTATATTTGAGATGACAGTAAATAAACTATAGCTGTATGAAGGATATTTTGATGTGAATCATATCCAAATTACTGAGCAGCTTGCATAATTTCTACCCAGGCATAATAGACTATCTCGGTGGGGAAAGGGACACGTTACTAGGAGAAGTAAGAGAAGTACAGCAGTTCTACAAATAGTACTGCACTTATTGAGTTTGAAAAAGTCTTAACAGTATTTAATTTAGAATAATTAACCAAGTTACAGTATATTTGTGAACAAGTAGATTTTAAAATGAAAATATTTTCTCCAAAGAAGTATAGTATTAATGGCCCCATTATATAATTATTTCTCCAGGTTATGATTAAATACAGTTTTTACTTTATTTCTCATGGTTCAGCATAAACAACCTTGGTTTTATTCACTTTCTTTATATATTTACGTTTTAGTTCCATTTTTTTTCCTTCAGGCGTTGGTTTGCCTTTCCAGGACCAAGTTTTCAGCAAATTAATCAAAAGATTTGATAGTATGACCATTGTTGTTAAGTGAAAGTAGTTTCTGCAGCCATTAGCAGATGATATTGCTAAAGGCTAACGTGAAATTTGTGTTCATGGTAAAAAATGCATTAAACAGTGAGATTATAAGTTAACTTTGTAATTTTGTTTTTCTTATTGACTTACTGTACTCATTTTTTGTTTTACTCATTTTTTGTTTTACTTGATTATCTCTTTTTGCCAGATCTGTAATAATTGTATTTATATTGTTGCCAACTTTAGCCAAAGGATTATGCTATAGTGTATAGAATTTATCAAGACATTTTTACCATAAAAATGAAATCCAAATTAACCTTAAACAATTACACTATATGTTCCTTCAATAAAAATAAAATTTCTGAAATTTGTATTATAGTATAGTTAAAATTTATCAAAGAATGTATTACCAAGTAGAAATTGCTTACTTCTTAAGATTACATGAACTGTTAGTTGTTTTTGATATTAAATGAAGAGTTTCCAAACATTTAATATGAATTGAACCTTTGTTAGTCTACATAGGAAATCTTCACATGGAGAAAAAATGTTTGTATAAAATTCAAATCTTAAACATTTATTTTTACCATTTATTGTATTTTTAGTCTTTTATGTTCTTTTCAAGAAAGTTATAGAAGTCATTTAGAGTATTTTTCAGTTTGTAACTTGTAATTTTTTAAATTAAACATCTTTATCACTCCATAGAAAATTGTAATTCAAATTTTAATGGAATTCCAACCAGAATTCAGGTGGCTCAGTAGTAAAGAATCCGGCTGCCAATGCAGGAAATGTGGGTTCAGTACCTGGGTTGGAAAGATCCCCTGGAGGAGGAAGTGGCAACCACCCCACTGTCCTTGCCTGGAAGAGCCCATGGATAGAGGAACCCGGCAGGGTCTTCAGGGAGGGTCGCAAAAAGTCAGACACAACTGAGCGACTGGGCGCGCACACAGCTTATGAATTGACACTGTCTTTTGAAACTTAGGATCCCAAATCTTTAGTCATGATCAAAGTTTTAAAATTACTTCACTTCTTTTAAATTATGAATTAGTAATGTATTTACTTTTGTAAAAAACCATATAAAACAATCTTTCCTTGGATATATAATGAACTAAGTACCCAGACAAATTACTCTTTTATATTTTTTTTATGAACCATTCTATTTCTAAAAGCTTTAATATTCTTTTATTCTAGGGAATAACGTTTCAATAAATATAGAGGTAGACCCCAGGCATCCCACTATGCTTCCCGAGTGCTGTTTTCTTGGAGCTGACCATGGTATGAGATCTCAGGTTTAAATGTTTTTAACAGAATCATAAAATCCTTGTCCACTACTATAATTATTCTAATGTATTATTATACTAATGGTAAATATCTTAAATGAAAATGTCTCATCGTGAACTCTGTACTTCTGTGTTTCTTTTATATATATATATATATATATATATGATTTAGATTTTCTAATCAGATAGGAAACAAAATCCTGTAATTAACAAATACTATGTATATTTCAAATTTTGTAACTGCATGATGGTAAATGTTAACTTAACTTGTGTTAATCATTTTGCAAAATACCGATACCAAATCATTATGCTGTATACCTAAATATATAATACAGTGTTATCAGTTATAGCTCAATATAGAGACAAATTCTGTGCCAAATGTGACTTTCATTTTGAAAACAGCAAACCCTAAATTGACATTTTTTTTTCTTTTTTAAAAAATATCTGAAGTGGTAAAACCCCTGGGAATTAGGCTGAGCAGAAACATACATTTGTGGTAGGTATCTTTGCAATACAATTTTTACGTCTTTCTATGATTAAACAAATTTAATAACAATTTTTTATCATACTTTCAGGGATCCAGAAAACAGTCTGTTACAAAATTTGAAAGATGTTTTAGAAATCGACTTTCCAGCTCGTGCTATGCTGGAAAAATCTGTAAGTTTTATCAGTGCTTTGATATTCCAAATGGTATTGTATAGTGAAAATTAAATGTTCTTTTAGGCACCAGAGAAAAATGAGACTGAGAAGGAAGGAACTGGAAGAATATTACAACAGATTTCTGAACTGCAAGCAACAGTTGCATCAAAGAACTTATTAACCTTTGATTGGTGTTATGAGTGTACTTTTTTCATGGTCTTCAAGCAGTGAAGTGATTAATGACATCTTTATTATTAAAAATAGGGGGAAAGTTCCAGTATAGATAATGAGATGTTTGGATTTTCTATACTGTCTACTTATGCATTACTGAAATAAAGTTCTAATTAGTTTGAAAGAAGTCTTTGTGAAAGATGGCAGTATAGTTTTTCAAAACTGAATAGATACAACTACACTGAAAAAATAATAGATTTATGATGAATGTAGACTACTAAATCGGTGGGATGTTTTTGTCTTTTTCCTTTAGTTACAGACTTCTGAAGTTTAGTATAATCACAAACTGATGTCGATTCCTGTTTTTGCATTCTATCGTGGCATTATATTGATGTACAAACTAGGAAAATTACTTAAGCCCAAACATCTAGTGAGCCAGAAGTAGAACCTGGTTTTTAGTATATCTGTGTATATTATTTACTGGATGAAAAAGGAACCCTTCTCTTGCAAGTAGCTTTTCTAAGGTGTTAAACAGTGATGTGACTGTATTTTCTATAAGATAGCAATATAACATTTATAAAAATGTTATAAAAATCTAACACCATATTCATTCTTTTTTTTACTTCACCTTGTGTAGTCTTATTTCTTTTTTCCTCCCACCCATCCCCGAATATTTCTTTTCTTTTGAAGGATTTTTCTATGGATTGTGGGATTTGTTATGCCTATCAACTTGATGGTGCCATTCCTGATCAAGTGTGTGATAATTCACAGTGTGGCCAGTCTTTCCATTATATATGCTTATATGAGGTAAAAATAAAAATATCAGCAAAACTTAACTGCATAGGATATACATGTGAAATCTAAAATAAAATCTGCTTAGTCAATAGTGATCATCTTTTTTCCATTAGCTCCTTTACCATTCATTCCAAATGCCCTGTTTCATTTCTTCATGGTTACTGATGAACTGAGAAATGTTCTGAAGTATCCAAGAAGGGGGGACATGTATCTAGACTATATTCATGGACTTTTCATTGATGTATAACAAATTAAAGATTCTGATGGAACATTGGAATCTTTGTGTAAATATCTCATGTAACTACAATGTAGACTCAACCGAGTAGGACTAATGGTGGCAATAAAGTGAAAGGGAGCTAGTACTACAGAGTACCTGTTACTTTTCCAGCTATATTTAAGTATAGAATAAATGTAATAATCCTACTTTTGGTATTAAGAATGCGTTTTGTGATCTGAATATCTCACAACACTTAGTCAGTGACACTTTAATTACTATTTATTGTATGTTAAGTCTGCTTTCATTCCTGTCTACAGTCACTTGCTCTCTAGCATTTATCTTAGGGCACAGTGGACATATAATTAACTATGTGTGCATCTGTCTATAAAAACAACCTGTCATTGTATAGTGCTTTCACTGTTCAAAGACTTCCTTAAAATCACCTCATGATTTTTGTGATTAGTTTAGTGGCTGGTGCTATCTGCAGTTTAACAGTGGAGAATTTAGGTAGGGGTGTCAATTTACGTTATATAAAATCATAAAATATGAGGTCTAATTATAGAGATACTCTTAAGGGAACATATGCTTTCTTTTGTAATAATGAAAATTCATTTAATTTTTAAAAATGAGTTGCCTCCTGCTTGTAATTAATGGGTTGAGAATTAACCCTACTACTGGTGATTAAGATCAGAATTAAGACCTAAATTTTAAGAGCCTGTGGTATCTTTTATAGCAGGAGTTCTTAATTTGTGATTCATGGATTTAGGTTAGGTCTGTGAACTCCATGATTTGAACACATTATTTTTGTGTACAGCTGTTCTAGGGTAGAGAAGGTCCATACATTTTATCAGATTCTTAAAGGGGCCTGTAATTTGGTTATAAATCAGTGGTACAGACCTTAAAATCCATACTGGTTTCCCCTTGTTTTTCAGCATTTTAGTAGTTTGGTATTGGCTCAGAAAATGTTCCTCTTACTCTTGCAAAAGAAAATTAAGAAGGCAAATCTTCTGACATAAAAATATAATGTACTCAAAAAGAATGAAATGATATTTGGAATACCTGTAATCATGTTGACATTCCTCCTCTTTCCTTCTCTGTTCAAAATTTTCAGTGGTTGAGAGGACTACTGACTAGCAGACAGAGTTTTAACATCATATTTGGTGAATGTCCGTATTGTAGTAAGGTAAGCAAATTATTTGTCACATTTCATAGAACTGTATCTAGCTTTCAGTAATGTGTTTTAGAAAATATATAGTATAGTATAGAAGATTTATATAAATAGTACATATAGTATATAATTTTATAGTGTATCAGTGTATATATAAAACTTTTAGAAACATTTGTCAATTTATTTAAAAAAATTTCTAAGATAAATTTGCCTCTGTTAATATTTCAATTTACAGATTTCTCTTTTGATCAAAAATAGGTTAACCACTTTTCTAGTTTTCCTAGATGATCTGAATCTTAAGTATTTTATCTTATTACCTTTCATTATACCATTTCTAATATAAAGCATCCCTCTCTTTCTATAAGCCAATTACCTTGAAAATGTCTGGGAGAAAAGCCTGAAATAAGAATGCAGCAGTCCTGTGAAGAGCCAGAAACTTAAATTATCAAAAGGATTTTATTTGATAACTTCAGAGAAAATATAAAGCAAGACATACTAATATCAAAAGAAAAATAATGGTGAAGCTGTAATAATATATATCCGCTTTTATCTCTTCACTAAATGTAAATTGGGACACTGTAAACCAAAATCCTGTAGAACTGTCTAATTCTGTGACCTCCATACCAGTTGTAGAAGTGTCTGTGTACCAAGATGGAGAGCTTGACTTGTTGAATATATCTGGATTGGTAAAATCTTGATGGGGTTCATAACATGAATTTGGGAATTGTATACAGCTGGATTTGTGTGGAGAACTTTTTACATCATTTTGAAATTCTTGAGACTCACAATATTTTTGTCTTCTTCTTGTGTTTTCCTATGAGAAAATACATATTTATTACGTGTTAGGTTTGAGTTATCCAAGTACTTTAGTGTACTCTTTAAGAATGCTAAATAAAATGTGTTACATAAGATCAAGTTTTTGTGTGCTTTTTTATTTTTCCTGAGAAGTTATTTTTAGGTTCTGGATTTTAAGTATTTATAAAGCATCAAACAATCAATCTGGTTAATTTGATTGGATCTTTTAAACCAAGAAGTAGGCTATTTCTTAAATAATCTAAAAATAGGATAGCATATGAAAATAACGATTTTTTGGCAGGGAAAAAACCAGGCTTAATCTTATGAGGATAAGAACAGTCATAGTTAGAAGGCTTTTTGGTCAGTAATAATTAAGGATACTAAAGCACTGGAGCGAGATGGTACTTGTGTACTGTGCACCCACATAGCGAGGTATCGGCCAGTGGCCTGTCCACTGTAGCTTCCTGCCCAAGCACCAGTATCTTCCCATAACAGACCTCAAGAAGACAGCTGGAAAAAATCTCTTTGTTCAGAAACTGACCTGAGAAAAGATGCTCACTCTAATCTCCTATGCAAAAAGGAATCAGTCTATACAAGTTAGTTTTACATGCCCAAAGAGACGTCTTGACATCTCTGGCTTTTCCATTAAGAAATTACTGAGATAATTATAAACTACTACCTGAGAGCTAAGAAAGTCACACGAATGAAAGTTTCCTAAAGTTTTGTTAGCTTAATTCACTAAAAAGGCAAAATGAGTTAATAGTTTTTCCAGCAGGCCAATAAGCATAGTTCTTTCACAAAGAAATATACCATCGAATCATATTTCTAAAGGATAAGAGCCACAGGTAAGCTAACTTAAACAGTATTTACATACAAGTTAACTTACATGTAGAAATGAATGATCTAGTTAGTCCCCAGCTAGGTAAAAACAGAAGTCGACTACTGAAATTTCAAGACAGTCCTCTCCTGTGTGACCTACATACCTTGTCTCTCCTTAACCAACAACAGATGATATCAAATGGAAAAGCACTCACAGAAGGATTTAACCCTCAGCTGTCTTCCTGAGAGCTCTGATTGGGAAAGACACTCTATGGTAGGATTGGAAAAGTGGCTCACTGTCTGCCTGTTTATGAGTAAAGCTTTATTGGTACACAGCCCTACTGACCACCACTACCTTGCATTAAGCAAGGGATAGCAAACAGACAGCATCTCACATCCTTCTTACTAGAAAACATTGCTTTTAGTAATTAACTGAGAACTACTAGACATAAATGGCAAAAGGCAAAAAAAACTGGAAGAAACTCACATGTTCTTCAACACTACATCCATACCTCAGAATACCACCTAGCAATAAAAAAAGAATGAACTATCAATAGATGCAAAATTTGGATGGATCTCACAGACATAATGGGGAAAGAAATAAAGCCAATCTGAAGTTACGTAGTGTATAATTTGGTTTATACTGACATACTCAAAATTACATTACAGTGATGCACAACAGACCAATGCTTTCCAGGGTTTGGGACTGGGGAGACCATGTCACTGTAAAGCAACATGAATTCAGTTATCATTACCAGGATACTGAAGATGTTAAAAGTATAAAAGAATATTACGAACTACACAGTGCTGCCAGATTTGACAAGTTAAATGAAATGGACAAATTCCTTGAAAGATCAATTACCAAAACTGACATAAGAAGAAAAGAAAATCTAATAATCACTATACTTGTGAGAGAGAGTGAATTCATAATTTAAAATTTTACAATGAAACTATAGATGATAGTTTTCTTGCTAAACTCTCATTCATGAAAGACAAATCTTATTGAAACATTTTCTGAAAATACATACTTCCCTCTAATGTAACTTGCACAGTGACTGGAAAACAAAACCACACAAGGATACTGAAACAAAAAATTACAGACCACTATCTCATCAACAGGAATATAAGAATCTATAATGGAAAAACAGCAAATTGAATTCAGTAGGACAACACATTATAACTAAGTGGAGTTTATTATACTAGTAAAGATGAAAAATTGTATGATCTGAACACATCCTCAAAAATAATACCCATTCCTGACTAAAATTTATTCTTCAGTAAACTATAAATACAATGAAATTTCCTCAGCCTGATGATAAAAGGCATTTAGGAAAAATCTACAGCTAACATCATACTTAATGGTGAAAGAATGAATGCTTTCCCCCTAAAATGAGGGATGTAAAATGGATGCCCTCTCACTACTACATTGAATAGTCAATATAGTATTAGAGGTCCCAGCAGGTGTAGTAAGACATGAAAGAAATGAAAGACATGTACATTAGGAAAAAAACTTTCAGAAAACATGATTGATTATGTAAAAAATCCTAAGGATACAAAGGAGCTACTAGAATAGTGAAGTGAACTGCAGGAAGATCTCAAGACACAAGGGCATTAAAATTTTATTTCTATATACCAGCAACAAATAACTGGAATATGAAGTTTTTGAAAAATGACATTTAAAATAGGATTAAAAACCAAAATACTGAGAGATCATTTTAATGGAAGCAGTGTAGGCTATCTACACTAAAAAACATTGTTTATGGGGAGGGAGGGTTCAGGATGGGAACACATGTAAATCCATGGCTGATTCATGTCAATGTATGGCAAAAACCACTACAATATTGTAATTAGCCTCCAACTAATAAAAAAAAGAAAAAAAAAACAATGTTTAAAGAAATAAATGGAGAGAAGTGTCAGGTTCTTGCATTGGAGAATTCAATGTTGTTGGGATTTCAGTTCCCTTGAGGCTGATCTTTAGATTCAGTGTAGTCCCAATTAAAATCCCACTGTGCTGTTTAGTGGAAACTGACAAGATGATTCTTAAATTTTATGGAGGGGACCAGGATTTAAAATGGCCATGGCATCTTTGAAGAAAAGAAAGGGGTTGAAGGACTACCTGATCTTAGAACTAAGGATAAACAAATAAGTTGATCGAAAAGACAGTCTAGAAATAGACCCATTTATATAGTCAGCTGACTTCTGAAAAGGGCTCCAAAGAAATTTAATTAGAAAAATCTAAAAGTATGGTATTCTGGGACTTCCCTGGTGGCCCACTGGCTAAGATTCCAAAGCAGGAGGCCTGGGTTTGATCCCTGGTCAGGGAACTAGATCCCACATGCCACAGCTAAGACCCAGTGCAGCCAAATATTAAAGAAACAGTACTGGGATAACTGGCTTACAACATTGAAAAAATGAACATCAACCTCTATGTCACACCATACCCAGTTGATTTGAGATGGCTCATAGACCCAAATATGAAAGCTAAAACTACAGACCTTCTAAAAGATATCAAAATAACTTGGTGATCTTCAAGTAGGCAAATTGATACACTGAATTTCAAATAAAAACAAATAGTTTCTGTTCATAACAGACTAAATGGGCAGGATGCACACAAGGAGAACACTTCTGCAATACAGATATTGAAGAGGGGACGTGGAATATGTAGAGAATTCCTACAACTTAAAAACAACTATCCAAATAAAAGAAACACTTGAAAGGGCACTTCACAAAAGAAGCACTATGAGTGGACAGTCAGCACAGGAGAAGGTGCTTGCCATGACTAGTTATCAGGTAGGTGGTAACTGGAATCACTGTGAGATACTAATACACAAAACGCTATAATGGCTAGAAAGACTTACAAACACCAATAGTGGGGAGGGAGGATGTGCAATGGCTGGAATTTTCATACATTATTGGTGGGAGTATAAAATGGCAAGTTGTTAGCTTTTTGAAATGGTGAACATACATCTCTCCTGTTACCCAGCAATTCCACTTCTCAGGACAAACAGAACATATCCATAGAAGGACTTGTGTCATAACTGCAGACAGTGACTGTGGCCATGAAATTAAGATGCTTGCTCCTTGGAAGGAAAACTATGATAAACTCAGACAGCATATTAAAAAGCAGAGACCACTCTGCTGACACAAGTCCATATAGTTAAGCTATGGTTTTCTCAGTCATGTATGGATATGAGAGTTGGACCATAAAGAAGGCTGAGTGCCAAAGAATTGATGCTTTTGAACTGTGGTGCTGAAGACTCTTGAGAATCCCTTAGACAGCAAGGAGATCAAAGCAGTCAGTCCTAAAAGAAATCAATCCTGAATGTTCATTGGATGCTGAATGCTGATGCTGAAGCTGAAACTCCAGTACTCTGGCCGCCTGATGCGAAGAGCTGACTCATTGGAAAAGACCCTGATGCTGGGAAAGATCAGGAAGAGGGCAGGAGGAGAAGGCGACGACAGAGGATGAGATGGTTAGATAGCATCACCGACTCAATTACATGAATTTGAGCAAACTCCGGGAGCTGGTGAAGGACAGAGGAGCCTGGGGTGCTGCAGTCTATGGCGTCAGAGTCTGACACTACTTAGCAACTGAACAACAGGAAGAAGGGTCAGGGGAAGCCCAGGTGCCCACTAATAGGAGAATGTATATACAAGTTATGATGTAAACTATACAATGGATGTAACTATACAACTCAACATGAAAAAGAACAATAATATGGAGAAATTTCAAGAAACCATGCTGAGTGAAAGAAGCTAGAAAAGAGGGCATACTATATGACTACCTGTGTGTAAAGGGCTTCCCTGGTTGCTCAGATGGTAAAGAATCTGCCTGCAATGCAGGAGACCCAGATTTAAACAAAACTAAATTTAGTGACGAAAATCAGAATATAAGAAGTTGTCTCTGAGGGAAGGGGACTGACTGAGAAGAGGAACAAAGAACTTTCAGAAGGGATAAGATCTACATACGCCTGTCGCATTACCACCCCAATTAAAACAAATCCATTTCTCTTCTTGGAATGTGGGCATCAGTATTTTTATATCACTCTCTACTACATACTCAAGTGATACCAGTGCCCATTAAGGGTTGAAAAAGCATTCAAGAATCTCTAAATTTTGTCACTGAGTAATATTTGTCTTATGGGAACTTCTGTTCATTTGAAGTAGATTATTATCAATTTAAAAAGAAAACAGAAAACAAATGATGCTACCATTGTTTTTATAACAGAATAAATGCAAAAGACTCCTATTAGTACTAAAAAAGCATCTCTCTCTCTCTGGATAAGCTTGTATGCTTGCTG